CCTCTTGCAAACATGACCCCCTCATCCCCAGCTAGTATGTATTTTAAATTCTCAAAGCATTTATTATCATCAGACATCCCGTGAAAACTGGTCACTGGTGGCTCATGCCTGTAATTCTAGCTACTCATGAAGCTGAGATCTGAGGATCTTGGTTCAAAGCCAGCCCAGGCAGGAAAGTCTGTGAGACTCTTACCTGTAATTACCCACTAGAAAACTGGTGCTGTGGCTCAGAGTGGTAGAACACTAGCCTTTAGTGAAAAAGCTCAGGGACTGTGTCCAGGTCCTGAGTGAAAGCCCCATAACTGACAAAAAAAAAAAAAAAAGAAGTGAGATTCTATGGCCTGATTTACTTGTTTAACCTGTCATTTGTTGGCTGTCTCTCTCCTTGGTAGGACCCAACTGCCTCTAGGGCAGAGAGAGCCTTTTGTTTACTGGTGAATCTCGAGTAGCTAGATGAGTGCTCCATCTATGCTATGTGTGCTGAAAATATTTGTTGATCAAATCCTTAGCACTGATTTCCTTCCTGCCCAGGGAATCCCAGTTCCTTGAGTTCCGGGTCTTCAGGCAAGTTGTGAAGGTGACATACGATGGAATCCTACAGTTCTGACTTTGGGAAAATATGCATGCACTGTGCACTTGTGGGTGCGTGTGTGTGTGTGTGTGTGTGTGTGTGTGTGTGTGTGTGTAGCTTTAAAATGCATGGTTCTTTATTGTTTGTAGAGTGTATATGTGTGTGTGTTTGATGTTCACAGTGCTATTTGGTTGGTCTCTTTACTAAAACTCTTTCATTCATTCATTTTCATTAAAAAAAATAAGCTGGATGCTGGTGGCTCACGTCTGTAATTCTAGCTACTCAGGAGGCTGAGATCTGAAGATTATGGTTTGATGCCAGCCTGAGCAGGAAAACTCCAAGAGACTCTTATCTCCAACTAGCCAACAAAAAGCCAGAAATAGAGCTGTGGTTCAAGTGGTAGAGTGATATCCCTGAGCAAAAAAAGCCCAGGGGCAATACCTAGGCCCTGAGTTCAAGCCCCAGTATTGGCGTGTGTATGCATACCTGTGTGCACACACTCCCCACCCCCAGAATAAACAAATATATTGGATACCTGCTCTGGACTAAGTGTGGTTTAAGGAGTTGGACCAAAGAAGTCCCATTTCATCTCTAATGCCATCGCCCCAAGTCATAGTGAGTGGCAAGAGGGTGTTCTCCTTCTCAGCCCAGAGCTCTTCTTACCACACCACAGCTCTATACATGTGCTAGAAGGTCAAAATGGCCAGCTAAGCTGAACCTCTGCAGAAAGGGCCTGAGACACAGAGAATCTGGATACCAAGGGCGACCTGGAGGTTAAGGTCCAGAGCCAAGTCCAGAATCCCAGGGCAGGTTGGACTTTGAGAGGTCCCCTCTCCTAGCAGCAAGGTGGGATGTTGTCCAAGCCATTCTGATCAGTTACCTGCTAAGCCTCAGGCACCATACGAATCTCAGCTCTGGTGGGGGTTGGCCCAATTTCCTAAAATAGTTGATGCAAGCAAGTTGGACTCCTGACTCTGGAAATAAAGCCTTTTGGGAACTGGACCATTCTTAGCCATCAACTCCTTTTTTTTTAAAGCATCACCTTTCATTTTATAGAAGAAACTGGAACCCAGAGAGGTTGAGTCATGAGATCATGATCACACAGCTGGGCTAGAGGGAGGGCCGCTATTGCCTCTGAGTCTGTGGCTCTTTTCAGCCTCCTGAGTTGTTCTGTGGGTTGAAAGCCTTGCCTGGCTCCCTGGCCAAGCTGAGTCTGGATCTGGACAGCTGGTTGGGGTATGGAGAAAACACAGCAGCCATGAGCCCAGACGGTGGCTCCCCGGTTTTCTCTAGTGCCATTCCTCCAGCCATCTTTCCCTCATTTTCCAGCTCCTCCCTCTTGTCCCCTCAGGGTTATACACGCTCAGCTCAAAGTTGTTCCTTGCCTGATTGCATCTGAGAGCTGAAAACACAACGCTAATTAATGTGTCTGTGACTCTGGGTTTGGCTGCGGGCGGGTCCCACACCCTCCCCAGAGCTGGCCAGGCTCTGAGAACTGGCCCTCTGGCTTCTCTCGGCCTGCTGCCGGCAGATGCATATTTTAACAACACACATCTGTTGGCTATATAATCTCTCGTATTTGCCCTCCTCACTTGGTGCTTTGATGGAAGACCCCCCGAGGCCTCCCTCTGTTCCAGCCAAAGTGTTTGCTTTGCAATTTCGTCGGAATACCATCTGATTCTGCTCTCACATCTTCTGCAGGTTCTAATCAGGCTCTTACTTTATTTAATTAAAAATCTATCTCAAGCAAATACAGACTAAATTAGGAAGCTCTCTCATTCCTGGGAAGGCAGCCCCCCTCAGGGAAGAGGCTGGGATATTTTCCAGGGCTGAGATGTCACAGCAAAGCAGATGGGGTCTTGGTTGGGATGGAAGGCAGCCGGGCTAGGATGCATATGACCACCTCCCTCCCTTCTGCTAAACAGCCATTCTGTCCGGCCACTCACCCCAGACCAGGGCTCCCTTTTCAGCCTTACACCTTGGAGAAACTTTGCCAAGAAGAACCCTGCAGGACCCATGGGGAAGGGGGATCTGTGGGACTGAACAGGACCTGGAGTGGGCACGTAGTGGGGCTTATAGGAATGGCTGAGGATGGAGGCCTAGGGAGTCCCCAAGGAGTTAGGACTGCAAAGCCTGGGTAGCTGCTTTTTGCTCTGGTTCAGTGTGCTTAGACAAGTTTAATAGACAAGATGCCTGAAATCCTAGCTACTCAGGAGGCTGAGCTTTGAGGATCACTGTTTGAAGCCAGCCTGGGCAGACAAGTCTGTGAAACTCTTCTCTCCAATAAACTACTAAAAAAAAAAAAAAAGGTGTGGCTCAATTGGTAGAGTCTAGCCTCGAGTACGAAGAGGCTTATGGACAGTGCCCGGGCCCTGAGTTCAAGCCCCAGGACTGGCAAAAAAAAAAAAAAAAAGAGTTACACTGAAGGGATGCTGCTGGGATCTATAAAGGCACCCCTTGTTCAGCTGATCTCCAGACTCTCCCCACAAACCCAGCTCGGTTCCCAGAAGTAATGCCAGGCCAGGCCCCTGTGGAAAGGGAAGGAGGAACAAATGCCTTCTAGACATGATCCAGGATCTTAAAGCTCTGCTCTGAGAAGCCTGGCTCCTAACTAGCTGGACAGATGACATTCTGCTGGCATTTGGGACCAGGAGACTGGCTTGGAGCTGGAAAATGTGGAGGTGTTTTTAAATGTTAATTAAGCTGTGTGACCTCCTGCAATTGCCTTTGCCTCTCTGAGTCTCTCCCTTTGCTTATCTGTAAGTCATTTGGACTTTGAATACATTGGGCTTTGTTGTCTGACTGAGATAGCAGTGGGGAGACAGGCTGAGTGGCCAGGTTTAGCTGTGAGCTGACACGCCTTAAGGACAAGATGAGTCTGCATAGATTTTAACTTCTGCATCCAGTCAGGAGAGTGGACAATGCTGCAATTTTCCTTTTCCCAGCATCCTCTGCTCCTCTTTAGAAAGAATCTTTGAAAGATGATTATCCTACAATTTTGCTTAGCAAATGTGCTCTTGAAGTTTGTAATCTCCAAATCAGGGAGAGAGAGAGACAGAGAGAGACAGAGAGAGACAGAGACAGAAACAGAGACAGAAACAGAGAGAGAGACAGAGAGACAGAGAGACAGAGAGAGAGGCTCTGTCTGGAGGCTAAGATTTGAAGATCATGGTTCAAAGCCAGCTGGAACAGGAAAGTTTATTAATCTCTTATCTCCACGTAAGTAACCACCCCAAAGCAGAAGTAGAGCTGTGGCTGAAAGTTAGAGTGCTAACCTTGAGTGTAAAGCTCAGGGACAGTGTCCAAGGTCCTGAATTCAAGAACCATGACCAAACAAAACAAACAAAAAAGAAAGAAAGAAAGAAAGAGAATGAAAAAAAGAAAGAAAGGAAGAAAAGGAAACAAAAATTTCTAAGCCCCCAGCCTTCTTTCTCTCTTTCTCTCTCTCTCTCCCCCCCCCCTCTACCTCACTTAGAATTCCTGTCTCATTTGGGGTGTGTGTGGAGGGGGCAGGGCTGTTGATCCCTTTTACAATGGATGCACCTCTTAAGGCCCGCCTCCAGCTCAGTCATTCAGCCTATTTACCCCATGGGACAGTTCATTTCCCATCTCTCTCCTTGTAGGCCAGAGGAGACTTGCGGGGTGAAGGTTGGTGAGGTTGGCCTTGCTCTCCTCCCTGCCTCAGCCTAACTCCGAGCTGGTAAGTGGTCCTCTGGGGCCTGTCTACTGCGTGCTTAGAATCATCTGTCCCGTGTGTTTGGCTGTGTAGATCTGAAGATAACCTGACATGCTCTTAAATATTTCATCTCTGAGCAGCCGTGCCTCTTATCTGCCAGGACCCGAGGCAGAACCCCAGCTGCTGACCCTGTCTTCACAGCTCCGTAGCAGCTGCCCAGCCTGGGTAGCTGGGCTTCTCTCTCCTGCCTGTCCTGGTTCAAGCCACACAGGCTTGGAGGACATACACCCAGAAGGGGCTGGGGAAGGGTGTAAGGAGTTCTGGCTCAGCCTAGGCCAGGCCCTCCGCTTCTTTGAGCCTCAGTTTCTCACTTAGGGTAGCAATCTCTGACCCTCACAAGTGGGCCAGCAGCAGCGGAGGTGAGTGAGCAGCAGAGCTTTGAGGGTTTGCTTCAAGCTGCTTAGCAAATGTGAGCTATCATATCATTACTTTAGTGCAAGGCCTGCTTCTCTGCTCTGTGTCCCTGATTCTCTAGAACAGCTGGACAGAGATCCTCCAGAACATCATCACAACAGAGAAGGGAGACGACCAGGACTGAGATCTACAATGGCTCCAGGAATGTGAGGGGCCACCAAGCGAGCCCATTCCCTCCACAGACCTCAGGCGGGCCTGAGACCATGGACCTCTTCAGGAGAGCTGTCCAGGGGACATGTGGGGTGAAAAGCAAGGGGAAGATTGGAAGAAGAACCTTACATGGACCCCAGAACCAGGATTGCCAGGAGCCATGGGGGTGAGGTAGGAGGAGCCAGAGTTGCTGCTATTTCCTATGGACACAAGTCATGGGGGAAATCAAGCTCCAGGCTGACTCTGAAGTGGAACGGGAGAGGAGGGCTCAGGAAGAAGGGGTGCACAGATCATGCCACACACCCTCTCTGTACCTGGCCCTCTTCACATTGTAGAGTATCCAGAAGCCTGCATTAGCCTTCCTGCCCATCCAGAAAGAGCCTCCTGGAGCATCTGTCCCTGTGTGCACGTGGCTCTTACCCAGGACAGTGAGGCGTGCAGGGCGGGACCGGATGGCGGCCTGGATGGCCTGGCACTCGTACACAGCATCGTCCTGCAGCTCTGCCCTCAGGATCTTCAGGTGATGCTCTCCCGACAGGTGGTTCCCCACCACTAGGTACTGTGGGTAGCCTGTGGAGGAAGACAGCAGGCGGGTGAGAAGATCTTTGTCAGCTTATTTCCCAGTGGCAATTCGTGGGTGCCACAGACCCTGGAGAGAAGGGTTCCTAAAAGCTGCACTCTGCAAAAGCAAAGCACACTCAAGAAAACACACAGAGTGATCCACAGCAGATGTGGGCAGAGCATCTGGTCTCCTCTTTCCCTTTTTTGCCCAGAAAGTTTTTTCCAAGAAGAGATGGAGGGAGAATCTGACACCTGACCTGTATCTAGCACACCAGATGATCTTTTTCTGCATAGTAAGCCAGCCTTGGTCCTTAGAGTGATTTCTTCCCTAACTTGTAGCACTCTCTCCACTGACAGCCTGGAGTCCCTGCTTGCTCCCTGGGTTTTGGTTTCATGTTGTTTTGCTTGTTGATTTTGGTAGTACTAGTGTACTTGGCGGGTGTTCTGTCATTCTGAGCTATAAGCCCAGTGGATTGTTTTGGGGGAGGGTACTGAGGCTTGAACTCAAGGCCTGGGCACTCTACTTCTAGAATTTCTTGGTGGTTAATTGGAGATCAGAGTGTCTCAGATTTGTCTGCCCAGTCTAGCTATGAACCTTGATCCTCAGATCTCAGCCTCCTGAGTAGTAGGTTTGTAGTTAGGATTGCATGATCCCAGCATTTTTTGCTTTACTTAATTTTTCAGTGAGCGTCTTGTATTTTTGCCCACGGGTGGATGAAGTTGGACTGTTATCCTCCTACTTAGATCTCCTGCAAAGCTAGGACTACAGGAGTATACCATCATGCCTGCCTTATTGGTTGGGTGTATATTAGCTTTTTACCTAGGCTGGCCTTAAACCATGATCCTCCTGGATTCTACCTCCTGAGTGGCTGGAGTTACAGGCATAAGCCGCCACTCTTTCCCTCTTTACTTGAGTCTCAAAAAGCTCCTATGTTTCTGCATATGAATAAATAAAGCATGGATTTCCCCTGGTGGTCTGTCATCTATTGTGAGTTTCAGACTAAAATGGTGACATTTTCAGAGGGAAGAGGGAACATTTAAGTTTCTCTCTACACTAGGGCAGAGGTAGAAAGATGTAGATGGCAGCAGGCACAGAAGTGGGAGGTGTGCTCAGTGTAGGAAGCACAATAGCAAGACTTTCCCAGGGTGGTGTGTGTGTGTGTGTGTGTGTGTGTGTGCGCGCGTGTGCGTGTGCGTGCACGTGCATGCATATGTGTATGTGTGTGCATGGGTGCATGTGTGTACATGCATGCAGATTTGTTGGTTTGGTAAGAGAATCAGAGAGGCAAGTATTAGATAAGAAAGGCTAGAGAAGAGTTGAAAATGGTAAGTAGGGACAGACTTAATTGGCTCATTGCCCTGGGAAGTGGTATGCTTAGTACTATGGTCTACTAATGCACATGTACTACATGATCCTCATAAATGGGGAAAGAAAGAGACAGAGAGACATAGAGAAAGAGATATACAGAGACAGACAGAGAGACAGAAACACACAGAGAGACACAGGTTCATGAGAAAACAGAACAGTAAGGGAGAGAAGGAAGGAAAGCACAAAATGCTTGGAAAAAAGATCAAAAGCAACTTTTGGTGAAAAGTTTTGTCTCAGGATGGATAGGAAGTAGAAATCCAGGCCCGGCTGACCGGTGTCTAGGGACTCCTGGACACCTTAAACCATTGTAGTCCCTTTCTAGTCATTCTGTTTTCCCATCTCCCAAACCCCAGGGCCTGATTAACCACTTAGGAGACTCTCCTGATACTTAGGAATTTGGGGCCCCTTATACCACTGGCAATGAATAATAGATAAATAAAAGTTTGAGGTTGATAAATCATTAATCAGCTTTCCCCGCTGCCCTGTGGAGTAGAATATAAATGCCGACTTAAGTCATGGCTGGCCAGGCGGGGCTGTTTCTCTCTCTTGTCTGGATCTTGGGCTCTAAATCTCCTTAGTTTATCCAGGCAAGATACATTTTCCATTGTTCCATTACCCCAACCATCTCTTTACCATGGGATTTACAGATAGACTCCCACATTTCCTCCCTGCCCTGGTTGCTCTCTCCTCTGCTTCCACTTGCATCTGGTAGCCCCCAAATGGCTTTATTTTCTAAAGGACTCTTGCCAGGACAAGTGACAGTTCTCAGAACAAGGCCTAGGAGGACAGGAGTGGACACATTTGGTCCCCCAAAGAGGAGACAAGGGCTTAAGCAAGTCAGAAACAGAGACAGACCCAAACAGAAGCCAACAAAGAGGCCGTTCAGTCACTCTCTTCAAAGATTTCCCAGACCCTTGTTGTAGGTCTGATGTGTAGCATTCATGGGCAGTATTCCCCGCAGGAATACTCCTGGAATTTTCTTAACTATTTGGATTGTTAAAGAAGGACCTGCACCATCACAGAGGGTAACAAGGTCCCTCACACTGGATGAAAGATTGGGCCAGGTGGGCTCTAAGACCATTTCATTTGCATAAGCCTAGGGCCCAGAGATAAGACAGGTAAGTAGCTGCCATCCTCTATCAGACGTCCCAGCATGCACTGCAGGCTTCCCAGGCAGTGGAGCCCTTCCTGGCTCTAACATTGTCCTCACCATGCTAGCACAGAGCCATGGCCTCCATAGTTGAGCCAGAAAAGCACACAAGATCAGCTTTCTCTGCATCCCCCCACCCACCCCAGGGAATTTCCTGCCTTGTTACCCATCCTTCTGCCTGCTAGTGGTAAAGGAAAGGCACCCAGGTGAGCGAGGCTGGAGGAGCTGGTCCCGGCAAGGGGCTAGGGTGGGATTCCTGTGCAATCTTCCCCTTGCTGCTGCCTTGAAGGCAGCTGGCTCACTGCCTGGGCCCCTCCAGCCCAGCCTCTGGATCCCGCTGTCCTGTGATTAGTCTCTGATCTCCTGCAGGCATCTTGGCTGGAGCTGGTGTTTTTGTTGTCTTGCAAGCTATCAGCAGCAGGATTTCTCTCTCATGAGTTGCCGAAAACATCAGTGATGGGTTTGTTTGTATTTGCCTAATTAGGTGTCGAGCTGCGATGCTATCCCAAGGATTGGCAGCATCTTTGCAAAACATATTCAGAGGCAATAGATTCTGAGGAACTTTTAGCTCCTTCTACAGAATCCCTACTTTCTATTGGCAAAGGTGGTAAAACTATGGAGAGTCTGGGTGCTCAGCTACACTGCCTAGGTTAGTTGTATTTCCTCAGTCTGTTGTCTTGGGCTGTCTTGGATGAGGTACTTTAACTTCTTTGTGACTTGGTTTCCTTATCAGTATAATGGAGAGTGACAATACCAGTCCTCTATAGGCAAAGATTCAATAGGCTAATCTATGAAAAATACCTGGCTCATGATGACTAATGTATAAATGCTACTTTAAATAAAACATAGTGAGGTTAGGCAAAGGGTTCCATCTCTGGAATCAACAGCGGACAGGGTAGGTGATCCTTTGGGGTAGCCAAAAGGAGTCTGTGTATTGGGGTTGGTTATGTCATTGAATTAATTTCTTCATCAACTGTGCCTTGGTTTACCTGCCCCTCCCCCAAGTAGACCATTGTAAATTTATGAGATAAAATCTGAGAAGCACTTTAACTTCTTAGGGAAAAATTCTGTGTTCTTAGCCATATGGGAGAATGTGTTTATAAATCACTTAACATAAAAAAAGTGTTTCTGGCCTTGTGTTTATAAGTCACTGTTTTCAATGTTTCTGGCCTTGGATAGAGAACATTAGGTCTACATTGAGGGTATCATTCTCAGTGGACCGAATGGGGTGACACTGTACAGATGTAAGCCAGTTGCAGATGGCGGAGGCACTCAGTTTCCCTGCAGGAAAATGTCCATGGCATTAAGTGCTCTACAGGTGAACAGAATTCTTTCTCTTCCTTGTAAGGAAAGTGAGCAGTATTTATTGAGCCTGTGAGAACCTATCATCACGGTCAGACTGATGTTTTGGAACAAGCGAGGTAACGTGGAGTATTTCTCAGGAGCTTGAGCTGTTTGTTCTTCTTGGCACCTTCTTTCTGTAACCAGATCAAGTTGGAAGAAAGTAGATCTCCAGTCATTCAAGTCTGTTGTTCTTTAGCACAGGGCGGGCTCTGATCTGAGATCTCAGAAAACCACTTATGGCCAGGTGCTGGTGGCTCATGCCTGCAATCCTAGCTACTCAGATGGCTGAGATCTGAGGATTGCGGTTTGAAGCTAGCTGGGGCAGAAAAGTCTGTGAGACTCTTATCTCTATTAACCACCACCAGAAAACTGGAAGTGGAGCTGTGGGTCATAGTGATAGAGTGCTAGCTTTGAGTAAAAGAGCTCAGGGAGAGCATCCAGGTCCCGGGTTCAGGGAGCTTCCCCTCACTGTGATGACCATTTATGAACCATCCCTTATGACCTACAACCTCCTCTCAGCCGCCTTGGACCTAACAAGACTCCTGTTTATGACCTAACATCAAAAGCCATCCTCCACGATCACACACAGCCTTCCTATGAAGCAGCAGTGCAGGGCTAGGCTCAGTGCCATCCCGAATACGAGCAATTCTCGTTTGGAAAGGTCATATCCTTCTCTGGTTTCTACAGGGTGAGGGAATTCAGAGCCTCAAAATTGGTTGGTCCCCATAATACTTAAGCTTTATGGCAGCACAGTATATTTTGGAGATATTATTGTGTATTTTATCCATGCTCAGCCCAGCTGCAGCATTCAAACCCAGTGACTGCTATTGACCATTGCTATAATGTTTCAATATACATTTTTTGGGGGCGAGATATAACTCACATTTTAAAATATTAATTTCCCAGTCATAGGTTCCTGCGTGTACTTCGATTTTTTTTTTTATTTCCCTGCAGCTTTACACCAGGAACGAGGCAAAAGCACTTCTCAGCTGAATACGTATTTCTCACTGAGCCTCCGCCCTCCGCCATTCCCAAAGCCCAGGGAGAACCACACCCAGCTCTGTCCTTCTGAACTTTACTGCGTGTGTCAACCCTAGCAAGTAGCCATGGTCCTACCTGAGTAGGACTGAGTAATAATGGCCAATGGGTGAGTGACCAGGAAGATGGCTCCATTCCTTTTTTTTTCCCAGGGAAGAGTGTACATTGGAAAGGTTCTTAGCTGAGCTTGTGGTGGCCATGAATACGACTTAACCAAAGACACAACATGGGAACTGACCAGGGAAGTCACATGGCCACCATTGGCAGCCGTGGGGACCCTCCCCCAGGGCAGACACTGCGTGGCTGAATGTGTTTGGAATTTATTATGAATCCTTCCTGTCCTTTCTCTTTTCTGTTCTTTGTTTCTCTTCTTTCATTGTTTTCTCTCTTCTTTCTTTTTACTCTTCTTTCCTTCCTTTAGTCTTCCTTCCTTCCTTCCTCTTTCTCTTTCTTTTCTTTCTTTCTTTCTTTCTTTCTTTCTTTCTTTCTTTCTTTCTTTCTTTCTTTCTTTCTTTCTTTCTTTCTCTTTCTTTCCTTCTTTCCTTACTTCCTTCTCTTTCTCTCTCCTTTCTCTTTTCTCTCTCCTTTTTTCTCCCTCCCTCCCTCCCTCATTCCTTCCCTCTCTCTTTCCCTTCCTCCCTCCCTCCCTCCTCCCTTCCCTTCCTTCTTCCCTTCCTTCTTTCCTTCCTTCCTTCCTTCCTTCTCTTTCTCTTTCCTTCTTCTTTTTTTTTTGGGTCCGGTCGTGGGGCCTGAACTCTGGGCCTGGGCGCTGTCCCTCAGCTCTTCAGCTCAAGGCTAGCGCTCTACCACTTGAGCCACAGCGCCACTTCTGGCTTTTTTTCCTGCTTATGTGATGCTGAGGAATCGAACCCAGGGCCTCATGCATGCAAGGCAAGCACTCTACTACTGAGCCACCTTCCTAGCCCTTTCCTTTCTCTCTTTTCTCTCTCCTCCCTCCCTCCCTCTCTCCCTTCCTCCCTCTCTCCCTTCCTCCCTCTCTCCCTCCCTCTTGTCCTTCCTTCCTTCTTTCCTTCCTTCCTTCCTTCCTTCCTTCCTTCCTTCCTTCCTTCCTTCCTTTCTTTCCTTCTTTGTACGTGGGCTTGAACTCATGACTCTTATACTGTCCCTTGGCTTTTTTTTTTTTTTTTGCATACTTTTGGTGCTCTATTCCAGCTCCACAGCTTTCACTTTAGCCTTTTTTTTTTTTTTTTTTTGGTGGTGGTTAATTGGGGATGAGTCTCATGGACATTCCTGCTGGGGTGGTTTTGAACTGGGATCCTCAGATCTTAACCTCTTAAGAGTTAGGATTTCAGGTGCAAGCCACCTGATTATAGGTGCAAAGCCCGGCTTTGTCTTTTCTTAGAAGTTACCACCAAGGCTAAACAGGACTTTTAAAAAATATGTTTTTTATTGTAAAAATACTGTACAAAGGGGTTACAGTTACATGAACAAGGTAATGAGTACATTTCCTATTAAGCATTGTTACCTCCTCCTTTGTTTTTCCCTACCATCCCTTCCTTCCCACCTCCACAGCTACACTCCCCCTCCTCCTACCTACCTCCTCCGCACCTAAGTTGTAATGTTCATTTTTCAACATAGTGTCTTGTACATCTCATTGTTACAATGGGTCAACCTGTATCCCTATTTAAGCATTTTGTTTTTTCCCTTCTCCTCCCCAAGTTAGAGAAGTGTATATACAAGATGCAGGACACCGACATCAAATACAGTGAAAACGGGTTATACCATTGGGAGGAACATACGAAGAAACAAAAAAATCACATGGTACATTATAAATACATTAGGAACAATAGCAAAAAGAAAAAACCACTTGTGTCCCTATCTTGGGGTTCATTTCTCTTAACATCATCTTATCTGGTCATAGGTACATAGCTTTTGACTTTTTCTGCTTTCAGACATATACTAGTAATTGCAAATAAGGGAAACCATGGGAACTATGTTTCTTTGGGCTTGGCTTACTTCACTTAATATAATTTTTTCCAAGTTTTTCCATTTCCTAACAAATGGGGCAATGCCATTCTTTCTGATGGAGGCATAGAATTCCATTATCTATCTATCTATCTATATCTATATATCACATTTTCTTGATCCATTCATTTACTGAGGGGCATCTGGGTTCTAACCAGGATTTTTAAATACAGCTTTCATTGACTTGATTCTCTTGTTGGATGGGATGATGGATCACACCTTGATAAAAGGTGATGTATTTGGGGCCCAGAAATAGGAACACTTGATTTGCAGAAATCAGGCTTGAAGTCAATCATGTCTGATACTGGCTCTCCACAGAACACTGGACTCATCACCAGAATGAAGGGCCTCTTGTAGTTCACTGACTTCTGAGGCCCCCCTCACTCCTAGAGATTCTAGATTCAGGACTGGTCTAGCTTGATTACCCATGGAATTGCAATGAGGATGGGAGGTTTGACCCCTCAATGTCTGCAGAGATGGGCCAGGGTGTTCTCTGTGGGAGTAGATGGGTGGAAGAGGCAGTGGCAGGTACTGGACCATTCTGGGGAGTTTGGAAGTACTCACTGGAGAGATCGCGGCCTACTCCCAGAGCCAAACCATCTTTGATCCACAGAACGAAGCCATCGTATTCTGGAATGGCGCACAGCAGCGTCACTGGCTGTCCAGATACCACCACCTGGTCCTGGGGCTGCTGGCTGAAGGAGTAGACTTGGCCTAGGAAAGGGAGAAGCACAATAGTCTGTTAGTGCAGGCAGCTGTACCTGAAGAGCTTTCCTCAAGTTCTGGAACCAGAGTTGGCCCTGGGGCATGGACTTCCTCCAGAGTTTCTTGCTGGCCCTCTGACCTATCCGGTATCTCTTGCTTTTGTGGATTGATCCCTTCCCCTTCCCCCTCTATTCAACCTCTCTACTAATCAGTCTGTACTCCACCAAGGGGCCAGCCATGCTCTTAGGTTCCACAGGCCACGCCCAGCCACCTTTGGAACAGGCCACTCTCTTCTAACCATGGGACATTTTCTTAACTCTTCTTGCTTTCAAAGTCATGCGAGTTTTGTAAATCCTGAGAGTACAAAGGATCAGGAGTGGTAAGCGCTGGTGATTGTGTTTCACTGTATCCTCTCCCTATCCTGTCCCTTTTTTTTTTCTTTGAAAAACCTCTTGTTTCCATTTCCTGGAGTTCATTTTGATAAATAATATTTTATATGATCAGAGGCGCGTAAGTATTATGCCTTTCTGTTCTTCTCCTCCTTTGGCCTCCCTGTGTGTGAATGCCTAGAGTCCCATATATTTTATCATGTCCCCATTTATTTTAGAACTAGCTTCTGCAAATGAGAGAAAACATGCACTGTTTGTCTCTCTGAGCTTGGCATACTTTACCTAACATGATTTGTTCTAGGTCCATCCATTTCCCTGCAAATGGCATAATGTTATTCTTTCTAATGGCTGTGTAAAAGTCCATTATAGGTACCACATTTTTTTTTTGATCCACTCATCTATTGTAGGGCACCTGGGTTGTTCCCATAGCTTGGCTATTGTGAATAGTGCAGCAATGAACATGAGTGTGCAAGTGTCTTTATGGTAGAGGCCCATGAGTGGTATGGCAGGGTTGTAGGGAAGAACTATGTTTAGTTTTTTAAGGACTACTCCGGACTACTGTCCAGAGTGGTTGTACTCTTTTCCTTTATCACTATCCTCTCCTTCTCTGCAGCAGGCCCTGCTCAGCCTCCCTGAAGCCTATGTGTCCCATCCACAATTCTGAATAAGGTAACACAACGATCTGCACGACCAGTTCATGTTCTATTACACAAACATGCCACGTGTACAAGGCACCAAGTTCTTCTCTAACGTTCTCAAGAGAATATTAGCTCATTAATATTTATTTTATTCTTAAAACAATCTAAAAATAGTAGGCACTATTTTTTTTTTTTAAATTCCCATTTTCCAGAAGAGGAAGCAAAACACAGGTTGGTGAGGAGATGTAACTGGGGTGAGCTGGCTCATCACTCTCTCCGTTCCTGGGTGCTTACTGTGCTTGCAGAAGCCATGAAAACAGCACCCACAGGGAGCATCATCAGATTTCAGCAGGGGGTAGGAAGTAAGGACTTAGTTCACTGAACTTCCCAGTGAGCTGTCTGTGGTGGGGTGAGGGATGGGAATCTAATTCTTCTTGGCTCTGAAGACAAATTCTCCCATGCTGGGCTGCAGTGACCTAAGTCTGACCTAGAGGCAGGCATTGGAGAAGGGAGGTGGTGTGATCCTGTTCCTGGGAGGGACACATTTGAACGGACAATGGCATACAGGGTCATCAGTGCATTACACGACCTCCTTTTCCCTGTAGTCTATCTACTTAGGTTTCAGGGCATGTACCGCCCTCATTTTAAAGGACAAAAACCCCACGATCAGAGAGACATAGTGACCTGCTCAAGGTCACACAGTTAAAGAATGGTGGAACCTGGCTTGTCCTGTTGGTATTCTTAGTCCTTGCTCTTGCTTAACCCTGCAGATGTAGACATACGAAAAAGGGAAATGGAGCCAGCTGCTGCCATGGCTTCTCCCCTCCAACCCAGCACCACTGAGATCCGAGGCACTGGTTGCTGTCTTTCTAGGGAGCACAAAGCCCAGGCCTGGAGTGCACGTGGACTCCAGCTCTCAGCAGCAGGTGGGGTCGGGAAGATGAGGGAAGCTGGGTTTGCAGTGGAGAGTGAGGTAGAACCCCAGGGCAGGAAACAACCCTGCACAGGTGTCAACTCAGCAGGCAGGTGGCTGGTTTGCAGCCTGGAGAGGGTCTGGCTGCGTCTCTGAAGAGGCTGGTTAAAAACCAAATTGGCCTTGGCTTGTGGAAATAATACTTTTTTATTCTGATTTGAGCTTTACAAATTAGTTTTCATAGGACATTTTAATCAGCTATGGATAGTGGAATTTTTTCCTCTCTCTTCAAGTTTTCTGTTGTAATTGGACTATTTTTGGCAGCAAAACAAGAGAGAAAAGAAGGGAAGAGATGCGTGAGGAGAAAAGGAAGAGGGGTGAAGGGAGGAGGGCAGGAGAGAAGTAGAGAGTGATGAGAAAAGGAAGAGAGTGACAGACAGGAGGAGGGAGAAGGGGAAGAGGAAGAGGAGAGGAGGAGGAAGAAGAGGAAGAGAGGATAAGATGAGAGAAGGAGGAGGGAGAGGAGGAGGAGGAAGAAAGGGAGGGGAGGAAGAAGGAGAGAGGTAATAATAGCAGTAATAGTGGTAGAGGGGAGGAGGGGGAAGAGGAAGAGAAGGAAGGAAAAATAGTAGGAGGAGGAGAGGGAGAAGAGGGAGGGAGGGAGGGAGAGAGGATTCCTTCTGTAAGCCCTTTCTCTCTGCCTTAATGGTGATTTCACAGCTCATTCTTTTATCTGGAAATCTTTCTTGCAAGAAGGACAGTGTCAAGGCAGCCGCAGTAGCCACCAAGATTGTGCTATCAGAGAGAATTATCAAGTTGTCAGCTGGGAGCTGAAGGGACTGTAATGAGAAGGCTCTCAATGAAGTGGTGCCTGAGTCCTTTGAAATGTCCCTTATTAGGTGTGTGTGTGTGTGTGTGTGTGTGTGTGTGTGTGTGTGGTAACTTCTATTTGCTCTTCTTCCATCCTGTTTTCCTTTGGTATAAGGAGCAGAGGTATTAGTAAGAACCCTTGGGAACCTGGGGACAGGAGACAGGGGGGTAAGGGCCAGTTCTTGGTGGTCACTATAGAAACCAGGCTCTGGAAGACAGTCATGGGTGTGAGTTCAGATGGGTGGAAAGAGCCACGAAGGTGAGCTCTGTGCCTAACCACAGTGCCACTTTGGAAAGGTTCTTAGAACCAGGAGTTGGGATCAGGCACTAGATACCTCTGAATAACACCTGGAGCCTGTCTTCCCCATGATCTCTTTGTGAGACCTACCATTTGACCCTTTCCCCCACTCTGTCCTCCCTCTCCCAGTGGCCATCTGCTGGCTGCTCACTAGTGTTTTGCCGCTGTGACAAAATACCTCATGTAAACAACTTAAAGCAGAAGCAGGAGATACTGTAGCTCATGACTTCAGAAGGTTCAAGTCCACTATGGCTTGGCCCCTTATGCTTGTGTAGGACTTCAGGGTGGACAAGAAACAGAGAGAATGTCTGTGCAAATCAACTACTTCCCTCTTTATTCCATCTCAGGCCCCAGACTAAGGCATGAGGCCACCCATATTTTTGGATATATCTTCCCCTTTAGTTAATCATCTCTGGCAACACCATCAACATATCCAGATTTATGCTTATTATTATCTCTTTTTTTTCTAGTCCTGGGGTTTGAACTCTGGGCTGGGGCACTGTCCCCAAACTCCTTTTTTTTTTTTTTTTGGTCCGGTCGTGGGGCCTGAACTCTGGGCCTGGGCACTGTCCCTCAGCTCTTCAGCTCAAGGCTAGCACTCTACCACTAGAGCCAGAGTGCCACTTCCGACTTTTTTCTTTTTTTGCTTATGTGGTGCTAAGGAATCGAACCCAGGGCCTCGAGCATGCAAGGCAAGCGCTCTACCACTGAGCCACCTTCCCAGCCCCCCAAACTCCTTTTGAATAAGGCTAGCACTCTGCTACTTAAGCCACAACTCCACTTCTGCTTTTTCTGTGAGTAACTGGAGATAAGAGTTTCACAGACTACCTGCCTGGGCTGGTTTTGAACTACGATCTTCAGATCTCAGCCTCTTGAGTACCTAGGATTACAGGCATGAACCACCAGCACTTGGCTGCTTTATGAATCTCATAGATGTTTCCTTCTCAATCCAGTCAAGTCCACAATCAAGGTGAACTATCTTACTCAACTTCTCCAAACCTTTAGTGAGCATCTACTCATGTTCATAAAAAAATGAAGAACCAGAATGGATCTCCTTGTGGGAAGAGGCCATGGCTGTCTTTTCTACCTACACCCCCAGAGCCTGGACCAGTGTGTGAGCATCAGATGTACCTCTGTTAAATGCTCCTGGGTGGTACTTATGGCTCCGCCTACTCAGGTTTGTCTCCTGAGATCTCTGGTCACTGCAGGAAAATTGCTTTTTCATTGTAAACTACTGACCAGGCAGATATTGTGCTGAGCACACCTCGCAGAGGGAAAAAAGTGAGAAATAAAAGGGGAAAGCTAGAGTCTCAAGGTATCATGCTTGACAGAAGAAAAAAAAATCACAGTGTTACTCATCTGAGACCTAATGGATGCTCCATCTGGGTCTTTGAATGTACACATATCACCTGCAATGCATTCTGGACATTACTCCCCATATTTTCCAGATGAACTGAATGTTATAGTTTGGATCTTAAATACCCCCCAAAAGCCTACTTGTTAAAGGCCTAGGCTTTTTTTTTGTCAGTTGTGGGGCTTGAGCTCAGGGCCTGGGTGCTGTCCTTGAGCCTCTTTGTGTTGAAAGCTAGCTCTACCACTTGAGCCATAGCACCACTTCAGGTATTTGAGTAGTTCATTGGAGATAAGAGACTCATGGGGACTTTAGTGGCCAGGCTAACTTCAAACCATGATCCTCAGATCTCAGCCCCTGAGTAGCTAGGATTACAGGCGTGAGCCACTGGTGAAGCCTAGTCTTTAAGATGGTTCTACTGAGAAGCGGTAGAAACTCTAAGAGGTGGGGTTTAATTGGAGGTTCTCAGGTCATTGAGTCATTGCCCTGGCCCCAGCAGCAGGTCAAAGGAGGGACGATTGCCTTTAGCCCTCCTGAACAGAAAGTCAGG